GCCCATGCCACACTGAGGAGACCTGAAACCCTGATGAGAGATTATTTTATATCATACATGTTCTAGCCCTCCCCTTTTTTGTCAGCAAGTGATAGCAAATGGAAAGAAAACTTAGTGGAGTAATTTTCATAAGTTCAAATTATGGATGTCTACTTTTTCTATGACTTTCAAACTGCTGTGGGGAACATGCATTTTGAAATATATAGTCTTGCTATTGACACATTGAATCTTCTAAAGAAAGATAAGTATCCTTGGTGCCATTGGTCTGATGTGAGGAAGGCAGGTTGGACCTTGTGTTGGCTTGTCACAGCCTTTGCAGAAGTGGAAGGAATCTTCTTTCTCATTCTTTTGCACCAATATTCTGACTCAAGAGACAAAGATTAATGCCTGGGCTCACATTTTCCAATGAACTTATAGCAGATATGAGGGTTTGCTCTGTAACTTTACCTGCCTAATGCTCAAATCCGTTCTACACAAGCCTTCAGAGCAGACAGCAAAATAAATGAATTCTGTTACTATAGAACAGGATTTCCATACTAAAGCCTTGCCTGTGAAGCTTATTTTAATGAACTACACTCTAGTGACTCCATGAACTGAATTTATGATGGACAAATGAATGTTGGAGCTAGGTTTTATCAAGTTGTTCAAAGTAGAGCATTAATTTTGTTTTATGGAAAACATTTCACTAGAAGGAAAGACTAATCTTTTAAAAAGAGAGTAGGTGAGTATCAGAGGCTGGAAGTGATGCTATGTCCAACCAGTAATTCTTTTACAATGACCTCTAAAGGAACTGAAGATAGGATCTTATTTTGCTAATATGTCCCCCTTCTCATCCATTAAGAATATCAGATATTAGTGGAGTTATGAATTAAACTGCTAACCACAAGGTCAGTGGTTCAGAACCACTAGCCACTGCACTGGAAAAGGTTGAAGCTCTCTAATTTCATAAAGACTTTCAGTCTTCAAAGGTCAAACAGTACTTTTACCCTGTCCTATTGGGTGTCAATGTGTCCGGACCCATAACAGGTAATGGGTGGGTTAAATATATCAACCATCCAAAGCACACACATTGACTCCCAAGTAAAAGAAGGCTTCATAAATGGCAACTTAAAAGCTGTATACACTGCCATTTCCCAGGAGAGTGAATTATTTACTATGGTTCTTCTAACCAAATCTCAATCTCTGGCCAAATAACCTTTTCATGAATGGGTCTAGTAAGGTAAGGGAAGATAAGATAGGATTCACTGAAATGTCACCTACTCTGCCTAGAAAGTGAGACCACTGGGCAGGAAGGGGGATCCCAGTACCAGAAAGAGCCAGGAGTGGAGCCAGTCTTCGGTACAGAAGTCCCTGCGAAGTGAAACTTACAGATCCAGAAGATGGCTGTGACGTCAGAGGAGCAGCCGCAGAGTGAGGTGTCAACGCATGAACTAGAATAGCAAACTTCCCAGCAAATAAAGCAGGGTGTTTGGGGGCAGGAGTCTGGCTTGTGCAGTAGGGCGCCTTTGGGCACTTAATTGGGAAGAGCTGGGCTTTTTGACCCATAGACGTGGAGCTGAGTGTCTTTGGGCAGCAGCATACTGAAGTGGGGGTGCCTCTGGACATTTAATTCAGGATCTGGATTTGCTGATCCACTGAGCTTGAGCCGAATCCCTGTAGGTTGAGGCTTGCAGTGGACAAGTATGCCTTTTGCATATCTCTTGGCAGCCCAGAAAGAATTTTGTAATATGTCTTCATGAATAACTCTATTATGAGCTTTTCTCACTTGCATGAAAACCTATTAACTTCCCCCAATAAACCTTTAATCATGAATATTGTCTGTGACTTTTGTGTAGCCATTGCAATGGAGATTAGAACCTAGATATAAAATAGAGAATATTAGTTAGGACAATCTACCATGCAGTCAATTCTCACTTACAATGAGTCCTGCAGGACATAGAGTAGGGAGGCCGTTGAACTAGTTTGATGCAGCAGGTTTAATATCCAGTTAGATGTTGTCAAGCTCAATTGCTTCAAAGAAGATTTTAAAGTGTACTTGTTAGTATCTATAAAAAAACTGGCACGTTACAGGCAAATTTCACTTGAATTGTGATGCTGGAGAAGAATATTGAAAATGCTTGAGACTTCTAAAAGGACAAAGTGATATGTCGTGGAAGAAGTGCAGCCAGCATACTCCTTAAAGGCAAGGATGACAGGGCTTCATGCTACATACTTTGGACACGTTGTCAGGAGAGACCAGTTCCTGGAGAAGGACCTCATGCTGGATAAAGGGGAAGGGCCGCTAAACAGGGTGAGGATGGTACAGGAGGATGCATTCTCTTGTGCAGAGGGTGGCTGCGGGTTGGAATTGACTTGATGGCACCTAACAACAGAAACTGAATAGGTAAAAGCCTAAATTTAACCTAATATACATACAAGGCATTCTACTTACTATTTAATGAAAAGTCATATAAAAATTCAGTCGTAACTAAAAGTGAAACCGGTATGCATTAGACATGCTATTTCTAAAGTAGTTTTCTTTAATGGATTAAGTATTCTTGAACTAGTATCAAGAGAGAAAAATGTTTTGGCTACGGGGTCATTTCTGATTTATATTCACTTATATCATTAACTTTCAGCTACTCAAGGATGGCTCGTGTGTGCAACTCTTTTCTCTTGAGGGTGCTCTTGAAAAGATTAAGGGCCAACATCATAGGAATAAATATGTTTGGCCAACATGAGATACTTGACCCTTCTTTATTTTCTTAATATTTAGAGAAATACCCCCTCCTCCAAAAATCTAGTAATGAAGTTTTATTTGTAATAATTATTATTCTAATTAAAGTGTTTTGAATAAAGATGAAGCATTAAACATTAGTATACTTAAACATTAACTTGACATATGAGATTCAGTAATTAGGACTCTTGACCTTCACTGCTTTGCAAAACCTGCCTCTCCTCTCCCACCCTGAGCATAAATGAAAACTTTCCCCATTAAGTACCCCTATGAGGTCAATCTCTAGTCTGTATTCCCCAGTTCCCCAAAACTGCAACCGCCCTCTTGGTCCCTCTTGTCCTACCTCTTCTTCTCCTGGGTATTCTTCAAACAACTTAGATAGACACCAGAGCCTCTGAGTTGCAACCTTTAAGCCTCGGTTCTTATGTGTCCCATACAGCAGTGTGAGAGCAATTTTCTCAGTGAGAGGGAACTTGTGTTCTCTTAGTCTTGTTGCTATATAAGTGTGTTGCTATATGAGTAACTTTTATTACATTGCATCAACAGCAACTATTAATTGATGATAATATTCTATGAAGATGGTAGCACTGAAATACTATGGGAAGGTGAAATAGTTATAACAAGAGATGAGAGCAAAATTTTCTATTATATCCAAACTTTCAGGAATTAATAAACAACCATCATGTAAGTAATACTTATTTTGCACCCTACAGGATAAATGTATACTTCCTTTTGATGAACAGAAAAAAGTGTTTCCCCTTATATATTATTCAGTTAAATATAACTTGCAATCCTTTCATTTATAGTTATAGATCTAAGATTTCCACACTTACACTCACCAGAAAATTCTGTATAATTTCAAAATAAACTAGGATTTTATTGCAAATTCCACTTCTTTTATTTAATGTATAATTAAGAGGAATAAAGCCACAGAATAGGATGCAAATGCTTAACAGAATATACATAAATAAAAACATAAGAGTAGCATCAGAACTATATAATAGACAAAATCATCGTGCCAATTTACAGTCAATTTAATGAAATACAATGAGGAGCTTGTTTGTCTGCCCAAGTGATAAGGTTCCTAAATAGAGATCATAAGTTTTCCAGGAATACTAAAAGTGAAGGTATATTTTCCTTATGTCTTTTAGGGATTCTTCAATTTTGAAAAGGCTGACTAGACATTCTTAAATTAAGTTTCCAAATATTTTGCCATAAATACTGATGTTTTTTGCATTTACTTTATAAAAAAATAACTTCTACATTTTAAAGTAATTCTACCTATCCAAAACGTATTCAGTGAGGGTAAGTGTTCTATGTTGAAACATGAATCCGTCCCTTAGACAGTTTACAAATGTGTAAGAGCAATGATTCTTGGACTCTTTGCAATTATGGTATAAAAATGATTAGAGGTATTATTTCTCAAAATTATCATACAGAAAATATATCGGCTCCTTCTCAGTATTTCTTGGAGCAATGAGACTCTACCAAACC